CTAGACGGACCTTTGTTGACAAAGTAATGTCTCTGCTTTTTAATATGCTGTCTAGGTTGGTCATCACTTTTCTTCCAAGGAGCAAGCTTCTTTTAATTTCATGGCTGCAATAACCATCTGCAGTGATTTTGGAGCCCAGAAAAAGAAAGTCAGCCACTGTTTCCCAATCTATTTGCCATGAAGTGATGGGACAGGATGCCATGATCTTAGTTTTCTGAATGTTGAGCTTTAAGCCAACTTTGTCACTCTCCTCTTTCACTTTCATCAAGAGGCTCTTTAATTCTTCTTCACTTTCTGCCATAAGGGTGGTGTCATCTGCATATCTGAGGTTATTGATATTTCTCCCGGCAATCTTGATTCCAGCTTGTGCTTCATCCAGCCCAGCGTTTCTCATGATGTACTCTGCATACAAGTTACGTTAGCTCCGGAGAATGCTGCATTTTTATAGAAGAAAAATGTTAGAAACTTCTCAACTGTCTATACAGGTTTTTGTTTTAAAACATTTATTTAAAAAAAAAACACAAAAGAAACATTTATTTTTGGGGTTGTGAGAATTTACTCAGAGCATCATGTATAGACTGAGGTTAGCAAGAGTCCTACTACTACCTAATTCTGTCTTCACACTGAACAGATGAGGAATCTCAGGCCCCAGGGAGTTTGTCAGTATAGCCCATTAGTTACCAAATTCACACCACCTGGGAGCAACAGCGTGCATGCCCGGCAGTGGTCCCAGGGGGCTATGTGAATCACCCTGATTGCTGGTCCCTTCAATGTATCTTAAATGCCCTGAGTCCAGCCCAGCAGACTCCTTGTATTACCTGTATGGGTGATTGGTTCCAGAGCAACCTACTGGACCACAAGGCAGTGAAACTTCATTAATTTGCTCATTTAGCAAACAGTTCTGAGTGCCTCCTTCATGACGGTCACCAAGCTTAGTGCTTAGGGATACCATGGTAAGACCAGTCCCTGCTCTCCAGGATGTGACAGTCTTTGTTCAGGTGACTAACAGCTACAAAGTATGATCTTTTTGGCTGTAGCCCACTTAGTTCTTTCTGGGGTAAGATACTTTGGTGAGAATAGCCTGTCTTTTCTCATATTGCTTCAGATCAGGAGCCCATAGAGAAAAAAACAAAAAACCCTGTTATTTGTATCTGAGCCTCAAGAACAAGAGTCATTCATCACCAATTGTTACTCAGAAAATGGAGCAGAGAGGATCAAATCTTAAACAAGGGATTGGAAACAGAAATGTGAGCTTTCTCTGCATAAGCCACTACGTAGAATTAAGAAGCACACATCTCTAATACAAAGATGCTCTTCTAACTCCATAGGATGTTTCCTGTGACAGTGGGGATTGATTCCCACCCTTCCCCCTCCAGAGACTCCACCTTGACCTTAACAAGTCACCCTGCCGCGGACAGAGGCAGGATCTCAAACTAGCTGCCTATAAGAAGGCTGGTCTCTCTCCAGCCACCTCAGTTATGTCGGAGGAACACAGCTTCACGCCGACACTCTCAGTGATGTGACATCTCAGTGCCACCTCCCACTGCCCCAGCAGGTGACAGGAAGCTTGTCCTGTAAAGTGGATGGCTATGACTCACAGAACAGCACCTTCTGGGACTCTGCAGCATCTTCTTAGCTGTCCTGCAGCCCAAATGGACCCATAGGTGTCCCAAGGAGACTTGCTGTGTTAGGTCAGCACTTTTGTCTGCAAGAAACAGATTCACTTTGGTTTTCTTTAGTACTGGGCTTTATGGATACACTGGGCTTTAAGAGGACAATAGGAATCTGGCAGCAACCCAGAAGTATCTGTGCAGTGAGCCTCACAGAAATTGGAACTGGAGTCTCCCAGAAGCACAAGGAGCTCTAGAGTCAGGTAACCTCATCTCCCTTCTGCAGCCCAAGTTTCCCCTCTTCACTCTGGTGCTCTGCCAGGAATATACTCTAGCCAGCCTCCAGGTTTCTGCACTTCTTTGGGTGTTTTCTTGCATCTTCTCCAAAATTATCCAGCCAACCAAACAACTGCCTGATACCATTTAGCAGTTCAGAATCTCCGTGAGAATCTGATTGGCTTAGTTAATTACCATTGTTTTTGTGCAGATTTTTTGCTCCAGGCCACTGCACAGGTCAACCAATGAACTTACTGTCTTCCATACACCCATCCCCCTTGATCAACCAACCTGGTGCACAGATAGGTCACGTGGTCTAGAGCCTGGCTACCTTGATGTGTGGACAGCTTGGTCCACTTGTCTTAGAGCCAGTTTTCATTAAAAGTCTGCACATGACTGATTGTCCAGTCCTCTTGGTAAACAAGCCCAGAGTTAGGTTGGATTTGGTCTAAGGTCTCAAGGGAGGTCTTTTTGCATCAGGGAGCCTTCAATTTCTAGCATTGACCCTTTCTTTCAAGATAATTGAGTCCAATATGATGGTAGATGTAGTCCCCCCAAATCTAAATCCATACTTGATGGCTAGAAATATACAGATATAGATATGTTACTGAGGATGGGTGTAAGTAATGTTCAAATCAGCATGTTTTATTTTACCCCTGATTTGAACAGTGGGTCAATTCAGGAAAACTAGTATGTATCCAGCCCACTGTGGGGTCTTCCAAAGCCCTTTTCTGAGAGGGAGAGAGAATGTTCTAGACCCTTGCTTCCCAACTTCTAGAGAAAACACTCCAACTCTTACAATACAGCATCAAAACAATCAATTGATTTAATCAGTTTGTTTAAAAAGAAAAAAACAGGCACACCAGTGCTTGGGAATCATGTAAAAACAACCAAGATTGGTTAACTTTTTCTTTTGGTGGTTTTGGTGTTTTTGGTGTTTTATAGACACCGTTTGAGATGCTCAGAATGCATTTTATCAGCCAGAATCATTTCTGTCCCTGAAATTCTGTCCCCAAGTGACTTCCAGTGACTCCTTGAAAGTGTTCAAGGGCTTTTACCTGCACCAAGTCTTTGATTGTTTTTCCCAAGAAGTTCCTGTTAGATGAAATGGCACTTCTGTATAAGATAAATTAAGATTGATTTTTATTTAATAACACTGGTTTTGAAGCTAGCAGATATTCACTGCTGTCTATTTGCCTCCTTGGAGAGCAGAACTTTGCTGTTTCTTACAATTCTTCCTTGTTCAAGTGATTATAGGAGGAACAAAAAGAAGCTATTAGTAGATTTCACCACCATATTTAGAGCTTTATCCTAAAACCTGAAGAGGTTCTTAAATCACACTTATATAGAATTCAGTTTGTGCCAGATACTGTTCTAAGTATATATATATTTAAATAAAATAAATATAAAATAAATGAACTTAAATAAAATATATTTAAACAAATTTAAATCTATTTAAATATGTCTAAATTTAAATATATATATAAATAAATACTTTCCATGTAGTAACTTATTTAATGGTTACAACTCTATAAGATAGCTTCTATGACTACCCCTACTTTACAGATGAGAAAACTGAGGTACTGAGAGATTTCTTCCATTCCTCTGTATTGAGGCCTGACCCTTCATCTCAGACAAATATTCGGTTTTCAACTCTTTAGCTTTCCCCAGAAGTGGTTCGCTGGGCAGAGAAGCACGGGCCGGTCACACAGTCATGGGAGTCTCCTCTTTAGGGGCCTGGCCACGGGCTCACGTGTCAGGCCTGTGGCGTGCGGGTGTGCGCAGGAGTCACAGCCCTCGGCCTCCCTCAGAGCCACGCTGGCCAAGTGTGCCCCCCTCACAGCCAGTTTCTCTGGCGTCCCCAGCACTTCCCCGCGAATCCTACAGACAGGCTCAAGTCTGACCACACTTGCTGCTTTTTCTCCCTCATCCCCAGGTGGCCACCACGTGTTGGTCAGGATGGGCTAGGCTTTGCTGTGGGAAAGCACTCTTCATGGCTTGTAGCAACAAAAGGTTACTTCTCAGTCATGCCGGATGTCCATCAGGGCCTTCGAGGGCTCTGCTCATCTTAGAGGCTTGGGGACCCAGGCTGATGGAAGCTCCATCCTTACAACACGTCAGCACTCACCCTGAAAGGGGGAAGGGGCGTGGGAGTGGCCGGCCCCTGCTTTTTGAAACTCCTGCTTGGATCTTGCTGATGTGACTGACTTTCCTCACGTTCTCTGACCCTTCACTCTTGTGTTCTGACTTGTGCTCCCGTGCTGCCCGTCCCACATAGCTGCCCCCTGAGGACCATTCCTTGGCCCTTTTCTAGCAAAAAAACATTTCCTTCCTTCCATTTCTGTGTGAATGACTTCAGATCTTTATTTTTCAGCCCAGTTTCCCTGAGTCCCACTTCCACTGTCAGTAGTCATCAGCCTTCTCCCATTACCACCTCAGAATCTCTTACCTCAAAAGAAAATTTCCACCTCTACCAAATCGACTCTTCCTCCAACTCCCATGTTCCTGCTGACACCCCTTCCTCTTCTCATGTTGAAACTTTCAAGCAATTTCAGAGTGCGCCTCAAATCCATCCCCTTGCCGGTGCTGCTGCCCAAGCTCACAGCCTTCTCCCCTCACCTGGTGGACAAGAGCCTCCCATCACACTTTCCGCCTCCCTGCCTGGCTCAAGGCTGCGCATGGTACAGCTCGGGAGCACCATTCATGATGTGTTCTAGGTCAATGGCACCCCCTGGAGTTGTGCAGAGGCCCTGCAGGCCTGCACTGAGCCTATAGTCATCTGCCCATGGCTCCACTTGAATCCTGACACCCGATTGCTCAAAATCCTTCCTGGGCTTCCGTTCCAGTCTGACTGAAGGCCAACTATCCTGGCTGTGCCCCCCACAGGTCCTGATGGGGGTCATCCTTTCTCTTCTGTCTTCTACATCAAATGGCATTATAGTGATTTAAGAACAGTGTTTCCTTTACCTGCTCTATGCGTGAGAAAGTAAATTAATTGAGAGATTAATTGAGACTCTTTGTTGCTAAAATGGTGGAAAACCTCAAGCCAAAATGGCTCAAGTTTTAAAAGAGAGTGTACTGGCTCACATAAATGAAAACTGCAGAGGGCATGTCTTACTGCTTTAGGAATAACAGGATAAGGGGCTCAGCAAAGATCCTCGGGACCGCTTGCCTCTCTTTCCACGTCAGGAAGCTGAAACCACGGCAGGCCTGTCTGGCGGGAGCCAAAGCCGAGGAGGAGACGCAGCCGCCTCCAGAGACGCTGCCCGAGACGCGGCCAGAAGAATGTTCTGGCTCCCCCTCCCCCGTCCTCTGGTTGCCCACCGCTGCTGCGTCCCGCCGGCGCACCCAGAGCCTGGGGAACGCAGGCAGGAGGAGAAAGGGAAGAGGCGGGCCTGAGCAAACAGGGGGACCGCCAGCCCAAGCACCTCATTGGGAGCCACACAGCAGTCAGTGGTGGAGCCCGTCTTACGCCGTAGCTGAAGCTCTGAGTCCGTGCTGCACCAGCGAAAAAGTGTCCCAGCTGGAGGCGTCTCTCTGAGCGAAAGGAGCACATTCTGGAACATGTGTGGGAATAGCAGAGGGGCCCCTTGGCTGCAGTGTAAGGTGCTTGAAGAGGAACAGCAGAAAAGAGTCCACACTACATAGAGCCTGAAGGCCCGGCTCAGGAATTTGGTCTTCGTTCGGGAAGCACAAGGAAAATTACCAAAGGAAAAGTAAGAGACAAGGTAATTAATTTATAGCTATAAAGATGTCAGAGAGAGGAAGGAAATGCTTGGACTCTCTTCAAACAAAATCAAAATACAAAGTGAAGTAATTCTCAAGAATGAAAGTTACAAGCATAATAGAGAGTTGCTTTTTTTCCCCTACTAATTTTTGTATAGTTGCCATCTTTGGTACTGATAACAGAAATTAGGAAATCAAAAGCAAAAATAAACAAGTGGGACAACATCCAACTGAAAACTGCATAGCAAAGGAAGCCATTAAAATGAAAAGGCTGTCTATTGAATAGGAGGAAATATTTGCAAATCATGTATTTGATAAAGGGTTAACAGTCAAAATATATGAAGAACTCATATAACTCAGCAGCAAAAACCAAACAATCCAACATGCAGATAGCCAGCAGACACACGAGAAGATGCTTAACATCACTAATATCAGCAAAATGCAAATCAAGATCACAAGATATCACCTCATACCTGTTAGAATGGCTTTTATCAAAAAGACAAGAAAAAAAAAAAGACAAGAAATAAGCATTGGCCAGGAAGTAGAGAAAAGGGGACCCTTGTACATGGTTGGTGGGAATGTAAACTGGTGTAGCCACTATGGAAAACAGTTTGGAAGTTGCTCAAAAAATTGAAAATAGAGTTACCATAGGATCCAACAATTCTGTTTCTGGGTATATAACTGAAGAAAATGAAAGCACTGATTTGAAACTATATATGCAAAACAGTTCTCATGGCAGCATTATCTGTAAGAGCCAATATATGGAAGCAACCTAAGTGCCCATCAGTGGGTGAATGTATAAAGAATGTGCCATATGTGTGTGCACCTATGTGTGTGTGTGTGTGTGTGTGTATATATATATATATATGTTTAACTGGAATTATTCAGCCATAAAATGCTTGGAAATCTTGCCATTTGCAACAACATGGATGGACCTTGAGGACATCATGATAAGTGAAAGAAGGCAGGCAAGTGCCATCTGATCTCACATATGGAACCTAAAAAAAGAAAAAAAAAATGTCTTTACTGTTTGCAGTTACCTAACAAAGTACTTAGTACCTAACAGATGCTCAATAAATATTTGTGGAAAATATGAATTTTTAAAAGTGTGGTAATGGCAGATCAATGAAATGGAACAGAGAATTTAGAAATAGATCCACACAAATACACTCCATAAATTTGTGACAAAAGTGCTAAAGAAATTCAATGGAGGAGAGACGGATAACTTTTTAACAAGTAGATTAATAAACTGTGGTGTTTTCTTAAAATCACGCAGTACAACAGGAATAACTACTGCTACACACAACAACATAATGAATCTTACAGATACAATGATTGCCAAAAGCAGCCATGTATGAGAGCATAACAACAAAAAATAGGAATGAACATTCATTCACTCATTCATTCAGGTGAGGACCTACCATGAGCTGGGCTCTGAGTCAGGGCTTTAGAGCAGGCCAACATGAATCGTTTGTTGGGCTCTTCTAACATTTCCATTCCCTTTTGAAGTTGCAGGAGAACACCCCACGTAATGACCTGTGATCTGAAAGGAGGTCTGTGGTTTCCAGAAAGTACACTAAATGAGTGTTCACTTTGTACTCATTTTGTGGTTTTACATCTCAAGGTTATATGCTCAAGCTGGCTTTATTTGAAGTTAAATGGCTTGACCTCGCTTGCAAATGATATTGATGGAATGTACACAAAAGAGAGATGTTTGCTAAGAAGGAAAATGGCCCTGGGTGAGGGCAGTAAACTAGCAGATTTTGCATCTTTTGTGGGGAGAGACTGAGTTAGTGATTAAGCCCCTTGATACTTTAATTTCTTTAATCACAAACTGAAGATACTTGTTATTTAATAATAAGTATATCATCTTCAACAACACAGATGCCCCAACTAAAGGTCTGGCTGTGAACCATACATTAGGCACATCACACAGGGGACACTAAATATTATATAAACTGGGTTCCTACAGGTGGTTAGGTTTACAAATTTTAATCAACAGGCAGTGAGTCAAAAAAATATGAATCCCTAGGTGGTAGAAAATTCAGTTCAATTTCAACCCCCTTGCCATGACCTTACATTTGAAACCCATTTGTTCACTCATTCAGCATTTATTAAGTACTTTCTAGCTTCCATTATTTCAGCAACATTTATTAATTGCCCATATGTGCTCAACTTTGAATAATGGTGAATAAAATAGATACGATTTGATCCTAAGGGAAGTACTGTTTACACCCACGGTTTAATACAGACTGTGCTGTCAAAAAGCTCTCTCTTTAGCAGGAAGATAAATTGGTGAGCAGACCTGCAGACAGGATGTGATACGACTATGAAGGTGCTCATTGGGAATGAGTGGTGAGCTCTCCAAGTGTCCAGAGAAGGCTTGTCTGAGAGCTAACGCAGTGGCTGGACCTTGAGGGACGCACAGGAGTTCCCAGACTTTCAAGGAAACACATTATGAGTAGTAGAAGTGGTAGGGTGCTGCGGTATGGAAATGTGAAGCATCATTCACAGTTTGGAATTTAGGGCTCTGAAGGTGTGGGAACAGGCGCGCAAAGCCAATCCACATGAAGGCTGTGAACCATGTTTCGGAATTTGGGTTTCATTGTGAGGCACGTGGAGGCAGCTGATGGACGTGAGACAGAGAAGTGACATGATCAGGTGTGTCTTTTAGGAAAACCATCCACCAACACTGAGACTCCTGGAGCCACTACAGAGAAAAGATTGATGCAACGTGGCCACTCACTGGAACCCTGGATGTAGCATGTGGGTGTGTGTGATGGAAGCAGGAAGGGGGGAGTCTAGGAGACTCCTAGGCTTCTGGGGTTTTGCAGCAGCCTCCGTACAACCCTCAGGCTCCAGACTTTCACACTAAAAAAGTTTCGCAGACAACAACCAGATCTCTCTTCCTTGAACAGATCTTTTGTCATGTTGCTTCCTTGTTACAAAACTTTTAGTGTGTTTTACTCTGAAAATGTGAATTTGTGAGCTTCCTTCCAAGGTCCTTTGTTGGGCCTACTCTCTGGTTCCAGTGTTAAATCCTCACCTAAACACTCCTTTTTCACTGCTACCCAGACATCCCTTTCTCTTCCATCTAAGTGCCCTTGCATCTTCTGTCTGAATACCTGCGGTGCACCATCCTCAAGGCTAGCCTGGTCCAATCTTCCTCATGCAGCCTTCTCTGAGCACTTCATGCCTCACTGATCTGCTGTGTCATCGTCTCCTGTAGTCTGGAGCGAGTATATAAGACAAGAACATGAGCCTCACTAGGGCAGGGATTTGGTCTATTTCACTGCTATATGTGCACCCTTGGAAGAGTGCCTGAAACATGACAGGTACCTGATAATGAATGAATGAATGAATATGAATGAATGAATGAATGAATGACTATTCGGTCCTCCATAAATATTTAAGAAAGAAAACATTTTCAAGAAATAGAACACTTGATGGATTTGATCATTCATTAAGTCAAGAAGCATATACTGAGTGATTGCTCTGTGACAAGTATCATGATGGTTTCTGTGTATTCAAAAAGTCATTACAGTTGGAGTCCACAGTGAGGATAAAATCATTATCAGAATCAAAATCTGATGAATATTTACATTTTAACAGTAAAAACAGACTTCTATTAAAAAAAGAAACCAGAATTTCATATCCCTTAGATTTCAGCATTTTCGCTGTCTGATAATACCAAGCTTTGATAAAGGTGAATGACTATTTCATTTTTTTCCAAGGAGCAAAAGCCATTCTCAAACACAGCTTAATTGAGGGGGAAATTAGTTCAGTCGTGTTGGAGGTCACTTTTCCCGTTATCTAGTAAAAGTGAAGATGGGTGTGCAAGATAGTCCAATAAATCTATTCCTACACAGAAAATTCTCAGACATATGCCTGGGGACAGGAAAAACAGCTAATGGCAGTACAGTTTGAAATGAACAGCTGGAAACAACCAAAATGTCTCATCAGCAGCAGAATGAGTAAATTAATTATGGTTGTATCCCAGTGGTGGAATCTTCTGGAGGTGTGACATGAGTGAACCTGAACTATTAATATAATTACTTATATGACTCAATCTCTACAAATGTTATATTGAGTGAAAAAAAAGCAAGGTGTAGAATAATAGTGCATAAGGATCCTCTTTGCATGAAGTTTAAACATAGACTATAATACAATTTGTGAATCGATATAAATGTAGTAAAAGTATAAAATATACCTGACAGGGGGACTAGCCATCTCTGTTTGCCTAGAACCATTTTACCACCGAAAGTTCTATACCCTGGAAGCCCTCCATTTCCAGGCACAGCAAAACAGTTGGTTGTCTTACCTGAAGAGGATAAACATCAGGCTCAGAGTGAGGGTTACAGGCACGTTTCTGGCAGTCCAGTGGCTAAGACTGCGCTCCCAACGCAGGGGGCCCAGGTTCTGCCTGGTCCGGGAGCTAGATCTCTCATGCCACAATGAGAAGCCCAACTAAGACCTGGCACAGCCAAATAAATAAATAAATATTAAAAAAGACATCGGGGGTGACTTCAGGAAGGTAAGGAAATGAAATTGGGTAAGGTGCACTGGGTATAGTTTAGCTGAATTTGTAAGGTTCTGTTTTGTAAATTGGTGTATGGGTATGTGGTTATT